GGAGTGATTGTGTTGCTTTGGCCTACTATGACCAAATAACCCTTCAGCCAATTCTCCTCCACACTGTGTATATCCTCATAAAATGAACACAATGCTAGACCATTCCACAACAAGGTTCAAAGCTATTCTAGTAAAATGGAATGTATCCAGTATGCGTTAAATGAGATTTCCTGGGAATCGAAGTAAGGCAGCAAATGCCAAAGTGGTAACCTTTGCTTAGCTCTGGCACTAACACAGTACATAGGACAATGCATTTAATGAACTGCAACACATTCTCTCTCTGTAATATCTTATCTGTACATGTGTAGAGGTTCAACTCAAAGCGTTAAAATGAAATGGGAGGTGTAAGGTCCAATTAAGCTTCACAGAGCTGTGGTATTCTGCCGATGTTAATGAATCTCTGACGTGCTCTCGAGCTTGTGCACTTTAAACACATTCCTGCTGTAGGCCTGAATCTGATAGAAATAATAAATTGTTTGAATTCATTGCATATCAGATGCAAGGTGTTTTGAGCTACAGCAGGCAGTCTAATGATTAAAAAAAAAAAAGCTAATGAGGACATATGTAGGTGAAGGCAAATAACAGAAGAAATCCCGGTGCATCATTCACTCTCCTGAGAAGCTATGACACCGTGAGAAAGACAAGTCCTCTGCTGTCATTGTCAGAAACTCTCCAGCTCATTAGTCGACTAATTAGACGAAGGGGCTTAAATGTGTGTCTAAGTCATGAACCATCAGCATGATGAAATGTTGATTTTCTGACTAGTTCCAATGAATTGATTGTCAATTAGCAACATGCATATGAATGTATCCTCTAAAAACAGTTGGGCTATTTCATTAACTCAATTTTTGGATTGTTCTTGGTTATTTCTTATAGAAGTAACCAAATTGTTGGTTCAAATTCAACATTTATTGGGTTATATGCCCGAAATGTTTTTGGTGGATCAAAAATCAACTATTCAAGTCTGACTGGCGGCCATGACAGCCATCGACTTCCTATTCATGTGTCTACACTCTAAGCACAGTGTTCAAGTTGACACTTTTGACATTTGGATTTCTTCATTTATCGCTGTTTTGGTCAGTACTTTACACATTTTAATCTTTTAAAAACCGTTGCCTTGTAATAGTGTGTGTGTTGGACAGGGCGAAAGCAGGAATCGTAAAAAGAAAAAAAGCTCAAATGCCACGCGGTTGTGCACTTCTCCCCTGAGTATATTAGCAAGGAGCAGGAGACTCTTGCGTTAAATTCAGGTAATATTTAGAGAAGTTAGTGTGCATGATTATATTATTGCACACTTTATTTTGTAAGTTTAAGTGCCATCCATGCCATGCTGACAGGATGTTGTCTTATAGATGCCAAAGGTGAACTGGCCCCATCACTGCTGCCCATCCATTTACCACAGGCAGTTTAAAGGGGACGTGGAAAGGCTGTCAGGCCCACCATTGCCGAGGCCCAGTCAGCCTTTATCGACTTAAACCTGTAAATACAATTTTGCATTTTTTTTTAGGAAATAGGAATTGAAAACTGCATTTCATTTGTTGTCTTCATATAATTGATATCAATCTTTAATCCCAAACTGGTTTATGATTTCATTTCCACGCACCTTTCACTTTTTGGCTTTCTGTGTGTATGCCTTAGGGTGGGACAAATAGGGCTGAATACCTCCAGCAAGCTGACAGAAAGCTCACCTACCATTCTTGTGCTTGGGGCAAAAGCTAAATGTGCCTCACAATCATTTGTTACATTTGCAGGTCAAGCATACTGTCGAAGCACACTGCTTGGGGCATTTGACCTGTGCTTCAAAATATTTTATGTTTTTGACATCAACTACCTCAAGCAGTGTGAATATGTATCGGAGTTTCATCAAACGGTGGTATATGGCATAGAGGGAATTTTATACAAAGGAGTAAATAGTTTTTTATTTTGTAATGTTAACATACAAAAATAGTCGAGAAAATTGGCTGATTTTTGCTTATTTGAAAATGGTTATTTAATTAATTAATTTACCAGGGCTTAATAGAGATGAAAAAGTTTTACCGTTGACCCAAGTGTTTTTAGATTGTATAACAGGTTCCTTTGTATTCATATAATACGCTTGCATTATTAAGGAGACTAAACAGCATGTATGATGGCACAAGGTAAGGACGCCAGATAGCGCAATGGGGTACGTTTTGATGGCTTTACAGCTTTCTGCCTGGTGATCATCTGCCCACTCTCACTGCTGAATAATGTAACAAATGGTGAGTGGTGTGGGTGGGGAAGAGGAATGGCCTCTACTTAAAATAGACTCTAGTCCAATGCAAAAAAAGGGTACTTCAGAATACCATCGGAGTACCTCTACTGCAGAATAGCTGCAGTACAGGGATAGTTAAAGGAACACTGTAATTATCTCAGTTTCCAATAACAGCTGTTTTTTTTTCATGTACTTTGGCTTTTAAGCGTTAATAAATGCCTTTAACCTTCTTTATTGGTCAATAATGATGGTGTACCAGCTTGGACACCTCTTATATGGCATTTGCACTCGCATTTGTGCCACAGTTAATTTTTATATTTACTTGTGGTGTGTTAACCAATTAGATTGCATAAAAAAACTAGACACGTTTCTATCTTCTATCAAATGTAATGGTTGCAAAAGTCACTAAATACAGTAGCAAAAGATTGTGGTTGACAACACTGAAACCAAGTTGCTACTGATGTGGACTGTTTTCAGCATTTTTGGCCACGACATTCGTCAAGAACAAGAATCTGTGCTTGGTGGTTGCGCCTTCTCGGCAGCACGCGTGTACGAGCATTGATTTTGATTGGGTGGAATGTCGGCACCATTTGACTGTCGTTGCTGGACAGCCCCGGGCGCTTGTGTCTTGCGCCTGTAATGGGCAGCATTTTCACAGCCCCGCTTTGTTCAGCGGAAAGGTCGGTGCTGATGGACAATCTGTGGCTGGATGGATGCATGGTTTGAGGAGCTGACGATGAGAAGAAAGGAGTGTCAGCGCACAGCGCCGATGCGTATGTGGAACTGGGAGTCGCGGCTTGGAATGGAAGCCGATTTACATGGGACAGGAGAAGAGAGCCAGTCTCTTTTTCATTAATGGATACTACAGCTTCGTGTTGTATGCAGGAAAGTGGTTCAGATTGCACGATTATCTGTGTCTTGTCTTATGTGTTGTCTTGTATTATTTTGTCATTTTATGTTAACTTTTCTTTTGATAGCAGCGCGGGCACCCTCAGCGGCTCCTCTTGTTGCATGTTGTCTTGAGAGGGAAGAAATTTCATCTGTGCTGCACATTTGACAAAGTTGTACTTGACTTGACTACACTTGTTTGTCCACACTGCGGACACGCATGCACATCAAAATAAAAGCAGCGAATACTTGACATAACGGCACAGTGGTCGACTGGTTAGCATGTTCACCTGTGGAAATAACAAAAATGATTTGAATCTGTGAAATCTTTTTTTTTTTTCAAATAACATGACAAAAAGAAATTGAATTTACGTCATTCGTTCAGATGGAATGCGGGGACTAAGATAAAATCATGTTCATCTAATGAATTATTTTTTGAGTTATGGGAGTAAAAGTAAAAAGTTGTCTGAAAAATAAATAACTTCAAGTACCGATACATGAAAAATGAATACAGTACATTACTTCCAATCACTGCTGATGCATGGACTGTAGTAGATAAACTCATTCTTATAGATAGATAGATAGATAGATAGATAGATAGATAGATAGATAGATAGATAGATAGATAGATAGATAGATAGATAGATAGATAGATAGATAGATAGATAGTGTTACCAAGAGGGAAATCAATCACATGTATGGACAATTTAGAGGCTTCGGTTAATCCACCATACCATACATGTTTTTGGAATGGGGGAGAAAATTGGAGTACCTAGAAGAAACCCAAGCAAACACAGGGAGAACATTAAACTCCACACAGGAATGTCAGGGCTAGGGTTTCAACTCATGACCTCTGAATTGTGAGGCTGGTATGCCGACCAGTCACCCAGCATTCCTAATCATGAACTGGTCAATACATTTCAATGACATCCTCTTCTTTGCTTTTCTTTGACTACGTACCAGCTCCTGATGACCCTTTCTGAAGCTATCAACGAGGATCAATAAATGTTATGCGATGCGTGGCTCTCATAAAAAATTTAACAAACGACTGCTTAAATAAAAATTCTAATTGAAATATAAAATGCATTGGTCGATTTATGGCTTAAACACCTCATATACATATTGCTATTCAACTCCATGTTATACAACAGCAAGTACTGCATAAAGTACAGAAATGTAGTGCACGTTAAGAGAAGGTCAAATTAAGTTCACTTTACAGGTTGTAGTGCATTTGCTGATGCATGGACTGTAGTAGATAAACTCACTCCTATAGATAGATAGATAGATAGATAGATAGATAGATAGATAGATAGATAGACAGATAGATAGATAGATAGATAGATGCTTATGCACAAAATGTCCTGTCCACCCTAATTATTGACCAATAAAGTAAGTGATCAGAGGTCACAGGCATTGATCAGCTATTACAAACCAGTGAAATTAAAAATGGTTTTACAGCTGGGGTCGCAATGCATGCCTTGCCCACCTGAGCAATGCTAACTAACCCACACTAGACTGCTGCAGACTGGCGCACGTATGCTTGTGGCAACTGATGGATGGGGAAAAAAAAAAGAGACATCGGTTGCGCAAAGGCTTCCTGACTAGGTGCACACTGGGCATGGAAGGGGAAGCATAACATAAGCGTGCAAACATCAGCCCTTATGTCATCATTCGTAGTCGTATTAACAGCCAGAGGGAGCGGTGGCTCGGTGTGACAACTTGAAGTAAACTTGAGCAGTCAGACAGTGATGAGATCGTGTGCCTACTATAATGCAAAGGGGGACCTGAACGGTGGCACACGTATCAAAGCGTGGGCTCATCAGATTTCCGTGAATGTACTCGGCGGCGCCAGGGGTGCGTGCGCTTTGTGAGGTAACCGCACTGTTACTATTTTTAGAAGCAACGTTGCGGTAGTGGAATCAATCAAAGTGGGTTGGCATTCGCTGTTACGTGCTGCTGCTTTTAGTGCCTCCTGCACGTTTTCTGTGCACTTGTTCATCCTGGGACAGAGTATCGCTTGACGTATTTTCACCTGAGCTCATGTTATCTTGCGTTTCGCCGTGACAAAGAACACCGGTGGATTGCAAACTTTTGTGCCATGGAATCTGTACGACTTCGTGGCAACGACACGTTGCTCGCCTTTGGTGGCTCGTGTAGTTTTTTGCAGTTTAACCACATGTCAAGAGAACATTGCATTTCGGAATGAAAATGACGAGTATTCAATGACAAATCACCAAGTCGTCCGGAACGCGGGAGGTGCACGCCGCTTTCTCACCTGTCAAGCGTAAAAATAGAAATTTTCTTATGGGAATTAAGCACTCGTCCCGTTGCATGCTCCTCAGGAGGAAAATGGCGGATTCTGAGAGCATTGAGGTAAGTCTGTCAGTTTTTTTTTTTCTTGTGCAAAACCGCTCCGCTGCACTTAGTTGTTCGGACTCTGACGCCCATATTTGTCCTGAGGGTCCTACCTCCGGTGCGAAAGTTACGTCGTGGGCAATCAACGCTTTCTCCTCGCAATTTTGTTTAATTCAGTTTGAAATGGCATTCTGAGGAGCTACGATTTGTGTTTGTTAAAATATCCAAGAGACAAGTGCTGTCCATCCTGCATATAGTAGCTGCATCGTCTGGTCTACAAGTACACCATGTTTTCTTTTTTTTTTTTTTTTTTTTGCAGTCTTAAGGATTTGTTGGGGGCGGGGGGACATACACGGATTTCAGCATGAGGAATGATACAGCTTGCGAAAAGTCATCAGTGCCAGCTCTCGTTTTCTTACACGTTGAGCAGTTGGCCATGAAAAACATCACACCACATATAGACAGTAGGATCTAGATTCTTATCCTCCCACAACATCCATGTACTACGGCAATGCAGCAGACATTCTCCTCTTACAAAGATAATCATATAAATAACTTGGGATTCACACTATCACAGAAGTGTTACTTTATTGTTACATCAAATAGTATCGGTTGCAGTGGTGCACCGTACTGAGAGATTTCAAGTCTGTATTCACACTATCAGAGTGTGTTATTTTATTATTATACCAGATAGTATAGTTGGCAATGGTGCACCGCAGTGAGAGATGCCTCTTTTTAGATTTGTGATTATTTAGCTAGACAAGGGGGGCGGGAGATATTAGAAACTCTTATTGTGTCTAATTAGATTTGACCAATGCACCATGATGCTTAATGTACCTCGATTGAATTGACCTCCAATAACGCTGTCCATGGTGCTGCTGTACCTTGTAGCTGGACTGCTGGATGATTTGAAACTGCTTGCTCTGAAATTCCTGTATCAGGATATGAAGCAGTTGTAGCCAGCCAAAAGGTCACTCAATGCTACACAGGTTATTGTAAAACACTGCAGATTCTTAAATGGCTCTTTGTGGGGCAAGAAAAGGATTGTTGTTGTTGTTTTTTTAAGTATGCTCGTATGATTGCTTTGGTTCGAGAATATTTCATATTGTAATTGATTGACCCAGTCTAACTTTGTTCTGGAAAGAGGGTTTTTTTTTTTTTTTTGGTACCATGCGCTGCAGTTCAGTACTGTGTTCCATGACAATTCTTTTTAATATTTTGGGATACAGTAGAACTTATTAAATCGAACAACTGTGCGTGTGTGTGTGTGTGTGTGTGTGTGTGT